GTAGCGGTTGGTGGGGAATCCAGCGGAGACGTAGTCGAGGAGTTGGACGTATGCCGGGTCTTGAGCGGCGGCGATGCGAAGCTCCTGGAGAGTCCTATCGTCTTCGATGGAGGGCGTCGTCGTCGTCTTGTCAGCAAGAGAAGTGGCTGTGTGTGTCACTAAAGACCGAACGTGAGCGGCGGCCGTGGTACAGTCGACTTCATCTTCAGGTGTGGGGCGACTAACAGGGGCTCGGGAGAGGGCGTCCAGGTGTGTTGGTCCAATCACCGTGATGTCCGCGCCCGTGTCAGGTATCATCAGGAGGTTGGAAGAGTTGGTACCGTAGGACAGACGAACATTGACGGGCTTGGGGGACCTGTCACTCGAGGTATCATCCACGCGTCGGCATCCTTTGTTATTCTTGGGAGACGGTGGTGTGGACGTTCTGTCGGGCTGTGAAGAGACGTTTTGACCTGGAGATGGAGGCTTCTTGGTGGACCTGCAACACTTGGCGAAGTGTCCTTGCTTGTTGCAAGCGTTGCATGAGGCCTTGTTGGCAGGACATCGAGGTGTGCGGGGCCAATGGCCTTGAAACCCACAGTTTCGACATGTACTATCAGCCGCAGGGCACTTTCCTGGACCATGCTGGTGCTGACAGTTTCTGCAGGATTCGGGAGAAGAAACTGGTGACTGTGACGGGGGCTGTGGAGAGGACGCCGTCTGCATCTGGCGTTGATTCCTCTTGTAGGTGGAGACGGCGTGGACTTGAGATGGCGATGAGTGTATAGCTGAGGCAGCCTCTCTTGTGGCCTCATACGACCTGCAACAGGTGACGAAGTCGGTGAGGGAAGAGGCGGCGTCGAGGGTGAGGAGTTTCTGAAGCAGGTCCTCGTCACGTACACCCATCAGCAAGATCATCTTGAGCTGGATCTCAGCACAGGTTACAGGATCGCCTGTACATAGGTCCACCTCGGTTGCTAGGTCCTTAAGTCGTGCATAGAAGTCTGAGAATGATTCCCCAGAAGCTTGTTTGCAGGATAGCAGTTCCCTACGACGCAAAGCTTCATTGCGGAGGCCACGGAAATGACTCTGCAAGGCGTTTAAAACCTCTGTCACTGACCTGGGGGAGTCAGGGGGGATGGCTAGCGTGTGCTCTAGGAGGCGTTGAACATCGAGGGAAATGCACGATCTTAATTGGATGAGTTGTTTATGAGGGGGCATTCGGTAGAGGTCAGACATAACAGCAAAGTCTTCGAAACGACGTCGCCATTGACGGTATACTTGATATGTTGCATCAGATTGAAGAGGTGGGGGACTGGGAACTGAAGACTTGCTGTGCAGGGGTGTACTCGAGACGGCAGGCGGTGGAGGAGGCACGGAGAGGTCGACGAGAGTTGAGACTGGAACAGGTGGTTGAGAAGACACTGAGGCATACCTAGGGGAGATAGGTGACGTGTGAGGAGGCGTTGTCTGAAGGATAGATGAAGAGGCTGAAGCTGGCGAATTGGTTGTGGCAGCTGGTGAAGTCGTCCTCGTTGCCAGCAATTCCAATAGGTCCAGGAATTTGCGGTTATCAGCTTGGTGTTGTTGTTGAAGTTGAAGGCGGTAAGCTGATTCCTCTGACTGTCTTGACAATTCCTCTTGACGTCGTTTTTCCTCCTCTAATTGACGTCTTTGGGCTTCCTTCTCTTGAGAAACTTGTAGGAAGTGGATTAACTGACGTATATCCTGGCTCCCATCCTTTGAATTTGGCGCGCCCGGCGTGTGAGGCGTGAGGGGGGGTGGGAGGGTCTGTGAGGCGTCGTCTTCCTCATAATCCTCATATAAATTTCCCAGCAAATCGTCGTGGTCAGACATCTCGTGCTTGGTATTGTTGCGATGGGAAAGACAAGGAGAATAAGGTGAAGTGCTATATTTTCGCCAATGGATTTGCTTAAGTGCAGGAACTGGCTGGCAAGTAAAAGAGTACTGACTGTAATATTTGTGAAGTGAGAGGAGGCGGCTGGCGGCGGTGTATTCCTCCGCGCGCCCGGGCGAGATGCTAGTGATGACTCAGTGGAGGGGACGCGGGCAGTGGCTTGCGAGCCTCCGTGGATGGGGGGTGTATGCCGGAAGTGCTGTCTTGGAAACTGGGCTGGAGGCGTGTCTGCTACCTGTAGGGCCGCAGAAACATAGCAAAGAGACATGAAAGGCACTGCACTTCACTTAGGGCACTTCACAAGGTCACAAAGCACTTTAAATCCAGGGGCACTGTGGAGTATATCTTCTGGGCGGGGCGGGAAACAGACGGGGCCGGCTCTTGAGGCTTGTAAACTGTCGTGTTGGAGCTACTCAAACTGCGCCATGTGGTGTGGTGGATGTAATCCTAGACAAGGTTCTTGAAACTCCAGGGCACGAGCAGTAGATATATTCAATAAGTGGTACAAGGCTGGGCGTGATAGCCAACCGATACAGGAGCGGTTACTAGGGACCCCGGACCGTAGGTAGGCCGAGGCCGATCTGAGGGAAATTAGCTAGCCAGGCAAGGGGAGTTGCTAGACATTCCTAGGACAATAAATGAGGTCTTCTAATTACTCGACTAGCGCGGTACAGACATAGTACATCGGGACATAGTAAATGAACATAGGCATTAGACATAAGCATGGACATCAGACATGCTATAATAATATGTAGTGATACAGACATGTGAATAAATGGTACAATGAATGGTAACAAGAGTCCTGGCGTCAGGCGTGTTCACATATCTTGGTATGTACATATCTATACAATATCCATCTCTCGATTCGTATCCCGTCACTTCAGTGCAAGCTTCAGTCATCACTTTTATGCCTCTCTCGACCGCCTGAGTGCTGTTTGGCCACTTGGGCACCACTAATGGTGTCTCAAGAATGTCATTAACCTGTAGATTTGACAGAGAAGCAATGTAAGGAGGCTCAGTCTTGAGTTCATTCCTCCAGTTAATCATGGAATGATAGTTTTTTGCTTGCCACTTTAGTTTCGGAGTCACCACCTTTCTCATGTTGACTACAGGAGGCACATCCTCATTCCCATCTCCATCTTTACCCTCCTCATCAGTATAGTTTAACAAATTCTCGTCAACAGCAGCATCAGGATCTGCCAGTGCATTCTTCCTTTTGCTGATTCTCCTCTCTAATTTTTCTTATCATTGAGACAGCTTTTTCTCTAACAGTCATGTCCTCATCTGCACACATACCAAGAAGAAGTTGATCTGTGTGGGCGAAGTATGCATTTCTCTGGACAGCCTTCTTCACTTTCGTCTCCTCACTATTCAGGTGTTTCATATATAGCAGGGACTGGAATACGTTCCTTGAGCCATGTGTTACGTAAGGGTGTATCTTGATGTAAAACCACATTGGAGCACTGAACTTTATTATTGTAATGACAATTCTTTTCAACTCATGGCTGGGTCTTGATGTTGCGACATACAGCCTGAGGATTCTACTCCATAAGGTGTTCCACCTTGACACACAGGGAGGACCTGGCTCAATAGCAGCCAAGTCATCTTCAACAACACCTGTGATAACTCCTTTACAAATCCTATACAGGTATTTCTGATCCCAGGACAGATCTTTCTCCACTTCATCATTAAACACAGGGAAATCAGGGAAACTGACTGGCTGGAAGGCGACAACTGGAAGCTCAGACAAAGACTCCTTGATCTGCTTTCCAATGGGACCACGCCAATGCTCAGGACCACTTGGTTTACCATCATAGTGATAAAAAACTGCGCGGAAAGGCAGCTCATTTCCGTGAAGCTGACATATGAAATAATGGAGCGGGTGACCAAGTAACATTTCAAGATGATGAATGACTCCATTTTCTGATCCTACATTTACATTGGTTCCATCACAACCAACACACACAATGGGCTGCTGGGTTAGATTTTTCTCCACCAGAAACTCGTGAATAGTTTTGGCAATCTGCCAGGCTCAACCATGATGACATAATGATCTTTCACCATCATCCTCGAACTCCATTTCTCGGTCTTCTCATTCTTTATCATCACACGAGTGGCGGTCTTCTTACCATCAAAATAGAGTGACGTCAAATTATCTAAACTAGTTGCCAACAGCACGTAACAGAGAGCCAGTACATGCCAACAGTGCCAACAGTACGTAACAGAGAGCCAGTACATGCCCACAGTTGCCTCTTAAATCGGTATTTTTGTCTCGCATCCCGCAGCTTATGTGGTCCAATAACCTGACTCTTGTCATCCTTTGTGATAATGCCATAGTCAGTTAAGGTGGCAGTAGCAATGGCAGCTCCAGCATAATCACTAATCAAGTATCGGTCACAAGCGGCAGCCAGTGTAGGGAGTCTTGTCCGGTTCTGTGAACTGGTGTCTCCCCTACATTACAGTACAGTAACACAACATTGAGAAATGAAATGAGAAAAGGCTGATAATCAATATAGACATAGCACCATACTCATCTGCAACAAGACAACTTAAATGAAATAAGAGATATGAAAAAAAAGTTGATAAACACTGAACAGAACATTGCACCGCCACAGCGGCTGTTTGGCTAGTACTGTAGGTAAATTAAAAAATTTCAGTAGAAAATGCGGCAGACTAAACCTCGACATATCAGCTTCAAATTTGGCATGGAGTCTTAGATATGTATAAGGAACAATGCCTGAAGAGTGCAGCTTTGAGCAAAATTTCACTGCCCCCTTTAGTACATCCTTCTTTCCTCACACAGCCAAACTGTGTCTGTGTGGATATGGGTCACACTATAATAACCCATTATAGTACATCCTTCTTTCCTCACACTGTTGAATGCTCTGCCTTCTTCTGTGTTTCCATAGTCATACAATCTGTCTCACTTCAAAAAGCTGGTTTTCCGGCATCTTCGCGGTGTACATTAATATAACCTTTTTATTTTATATTTTTATTTTATTTTTACTCTTATTTTATACAAATTGATTTAGTCACTTGTAGTTTTCATTTATAAATTGTACTTTTATAAGAATATCATCTAAGGCAAAATGTTTTGTTTCAGATACTGTGATGTCACGTCTCAAGACCAAGTGTAACTAAGTAGAAGTTCACAATGTCAAGCAGAGATAAAAAGTTCTCCTGTGAGGAATGTGGCAAACAGTTTGGCTTCAAGTCTTCTCTTCAGAAACATTTACTTGTACACAATGGTGTGAAGGAGTTTGAATGTGAGGAATGTGGGAAATGTTTCACCCAGAAGAGTACTCTCAAAACACACATTCTTGTCCACAATGGTATAAAGGAGTTTGAATGTGAGGAATGTGGGAAATGTTTCCCCCGGAAGGGTGATATCAAGATACACATTCTTGGACACAGTGGTATAAAGGAGTTTGAATGTGACGAATGTGGGAAATGTTTCTCCCAGAAGAGTCATCTCAAGACACACATTCTTGTCCACAATGGTATAAAGGAGTTTGAATGTGAGGAATGTGGGAAATGTTTCCCCCAGAAAGGTGATCTCAAGACACACATTCTTGTCCACAATGGTATAAAGGAGTTTGAATGTGAGGAATGTGGGAAATGTTTCTCCCAGAATGGTCATCTCAAGACACACATTCTTGTCCACAATGGTATAAAGGAGTTTCAATGTGAAGAATGTGGGAAATGTTTCTCCCAGAAGAGTAATCTCAGGACTCACATTCTTGGACACAGTGGTGTGAAGGAGTTTGAATGTGAGGAATGTGGTAAATGTTTCTCCCATAAGAATACTCTCAAGACACACATTCTTGGACACAGTGGTATAAAGAAGTTTGAATGTGAGGAATGTGGGAAACATTTTGCACTTAAGGGTAATCTCAAGGAACACATTCTTGTACTACACAATGGTATAAAGGAGTTTGAATGTGAGGAATGTTGGAAATGTTTCTCCCGCAGCGGTCATCTCAAACGTCATAAACTTGTGCATGAAAAAAACAGAATTCAATAAATGTTTGAATGACTTTAACAGAAGGTAAATGTGACACACAAACTTGAATACAGTGATATACATCAATATAAAACCACTTGAACAAACTCTATGAATGTAGCAGAAATAAAGACAAGTGACAAATGCCACTTTTATAGATATTAAACACAAGTTATCTGCTCTTAAGATGTAAATTACTTCTACCTTGGCCTCAGTGTAGACATTTGGTGTTGGTTAAATATCACTCATAATAATACTCCATTTTGTTTAATCAGCCTTTTTATTAATGTTATTTACAGTACAGTAGTGAACAAAGGTTAAACTTATCATCTATGTGCTTAAAATTTCACCTTTACTGGATAAGTTGTGTTGAACAGAGATGAACTCTCGTTTACTATAATTTGTACATCAATAGTTGTGTCAACTGTGTACGTTCGTCTTTATTTACACACGACGTAAGTTTTATCACAAGTGCGTACATTAACGCAGGTAGTAAATCATCTTGGTAAAGTAGTACAGTGGTGGTAGACCATTTGTTATAGTCAAGGTGTTGTCATTATCTCACGCAAACTCTTCAATCTCTGTTGAAATTGTACGTAAATATTTGATAAGTTTTGCTCAACTCTGACGAGATATTTTGATATTTTATCTTGACTAAAATGGTTGGTAGTTTTGATTCATGTTTTAAATATATTCTTTCATCACTTACAGATATATGGTACCATTGTCTGGTAAATAATGGTTAGGGTTCATATATAGTAGCTGGTGTTATGGGGCAGATGAACTTTAACACCTCTTAACTGTATATAATATCATGTTTAATATATTGTTCAGTTAGCATCTTGTGCCTTAGTTAGGTAACTCTTCTTGGTTATATATCAATTCATCCTTGGGCAGTCATTTTCTTAAAGTAGCCAATGCTGAAATGCCAAACTCTGGGTTAAAATTTGTTTTTTGATCATGTTAAGCAGAAGACTTGGTTAAATTAACATACAGTATTTAGATATTTGCTGTTCTTATATACAACTTTTCCTAATAGTACTGGCATGTGTTTATCTAACAATGGTATTTAAAAAAATGATTGCTACAAGAATGTCATTAATTTTGTGGACATGAATATAGAGTTTTATGTTAATACTGTGTACTGCATACATTAGTACAGGTCCCTATAATCTCTTGTGACTCTTATTACAGCTGCATAACGTTCACACTCACCGCACTAACGGAGTATCTAAGTTTTCTATTGGGTAGTGTCACAGTAAACACTCTGAAGGGGTAATTTGTATGTTGTATTATACCAGTGTCTGTGTATATAATGTGAAGTGTGTGTACTGATAGTATTAAGGGAGAACTCAAGGCACTGTTGTATGTTGTATTATACCAGTGTCTGTGTATATAATGTTAAGTGTGTACTGATAGTATTAAGGTCAGTTATTTTGTATGGAGAAGAAGAGACCTTCATTTATGGGAGAAGGTCAGTTATGTTTGTGTGGTGCTGTGACCTTAATTGCTTGGGGAAGGTCAACTATTTTTGTATTGTCACAGAGTGCAGTATTTTGATTGTGTCTAAAAGAATTAGTTAAAACTACTGGTTGGTGTTTCACCCTTCCTTCCACCCTCAACTTTGATTAATGAAAAACACAAACTCTCACTGCTAGACCAAACTCACACTGCTAGACTAAACTCACACTGCTAGACCAAACTCACACTGCTTGACTAAATTCACACTGCTAGACCAAACTCACACTGCTAGACCAAACTCACACTGCTAGACCAAACTCACACTGCTAGACAGAACTCACACTGCTAGACCAAACTCACACTGCTAGACCAAACTCACACTGCTAGACTAAACTCACACTGCTAGACCGAACTCACACTGCTAGACCGAACTCACACTGTTAGACCGAACTCACACTGCTAGACTAAACTCACACCGCTAGACTGAACTCACACTGCTAGACTGAACTCACACTGCTAGACTAAACTCACACTGCTAGACCGAACTCACACTGTTAGACTGAACTCACACTGCTAGACTAAACTCACACTGCTAGACCAAACTCTCACTGCTAGACTAAACTCACACTGCTAGACTAAACTCTCATGTAATGACCACGGTCATACAAGTCAGTTAGCGTAAAATCAGACGATTCATATTACGCTCAATAGCCCACAAAAGATGTAGCTATGCTTTCTTTTTGGAGTTCCCCATGTGAAGAGTCTGTTTTCTCAGCGCTTCAGGACGCCTGAGTCTGCCGGTTTCTCTCAATTTTGATGTACCCAAGACTTCATTATTCCTTAGTAATGACAGAATTTGAAATTGCAACTGTGGCTGAAATTGGTGAGGCAACCTAGTTACTGTATGTCTGTTTACAGTTGGAACATTCAAGATCCATTGTGAGTGGTGTTGAAAGCTTCAACTGTCCTTATTGTTAGTAAAACTTGTCAAGCAAGTGTCGAGTTTGCCAGCTAAAGTGGCATATTTTGTCGTTCGTGGGAGTATCGTGAATTTTCGATCGCTACTGAAGTTATATTATTTTGTCGCCCAAACATCAGAGAATCTGATGTTAATAGTTTAGTTAGTGTCAGTTGTCTATTTAAGAAAGTCATTAATCTCATGAACAGTTCCTGTCAAACTCGAAAATATCCAAGACTTAATGGCTGTTTGGGCCTGGGCTGTGGTTTGCGGTCAGGCCAATAGAGTTATTAATGCATATATAACTCCATTTCACCTCTTTACTGACAAACTCAATCTCTGATTAGATCGTAAAGATAGACATAGAAAATTAACCTGATCTGTTGTGGGGTTCTTGAGATGTTTGTGTTCACACTCAGGATGGGTTGGAGAAAGGAAACTCACAATGTGCTCTCTGTATACATGTTGTATTGGATGTACAATGCAGCTTGGTGCTGGGAAGGCAGCATGGTTACAAGCGTTGAGTAGAGAGAGCTGGTTGGTGAGGGTGCTCAGAGGAGGACAGCTTGTGGGTCGCCATGCTCGCCAGCGGGAGCAAGGACCGCCAGGCAGGCGGAGGAGGTGTTGCTGGCTGGTTGGTGTAGGTAGAAAGAGATAGGTCACCACGAGGTCAGGTCTTAAATAGCGGGGGTAGGCGTGGCTTAGTAGTTGACCCCCGCTCCGTGGGCGGCGCTGATTGACCTAGACCACCGAGGCATACACTGGGGAATTCATGGGGTCGGCTATGCAGCGACAAACAGCGTTTGCAGGGGAGAAATCCACCACACTGTGACACTGACGGTCACAGCCAGGTGTCCAGCGACCACTTTGAATAGAAGGCCTATTGTTAGTAAGATTAGTCTTTCTGGGGCCGATGTGCCCTCAGGCGAGTATATATATGAATGCACAAGGGAAAATCACACTCGTGATTTCTTCTCCACACATCTCCAAGTATGTAATTGATTGTTTCTCGCCGTCATGTTAGTTCAGTTTAACTTAGCCGATTTTTGTGAATATCAGTGTTCATGTTGTAACAATGAAATTGTCATTTACCCAGTGAAAGAATTGATATAAAGTAAGTGTCGTCTGGACCGTTGCCAGACGTATGTTTTGTATAGTGAAGTTAAATATTCACTCTCGCTATTTCTTCTCCACGCGTCTCCAGACGCTGTTTGTGTGTTGGCAACAGAACTGAGGTTTGGGAGCAGCCTATGGGCACGATGGCTCTCGAAGGATGTCTAAGGTGGCGAGATTCCTTGGCAGACGCCATGGCCGACCCTCTGCCACAATCCTTCCCGAGCCGGGCACTCCCAGCTAGAGGGGAGCCTGTAAACGACTTTGGCCCACGGACTCCGTCTTGTGATCTTGGTCCATCTACTGTTCTTGTTTATATGTAAGGAGCCGTGTTAATATCCATGCTTGGAGATGACTAGCAGAAATATAGCATCCCAGGTTAATTATTGAATCCATGAATGTTGGTTGTACCAGGGTTATTGTTATTCTCGGAGTTGAGTCCACCAAACCACTGAATACTCGTTAAAGTGTCACATTAGTCATTCCGAAATAACATGTTATAAAGATTATTTTAATTCGGGATAGTGTCAAGTGTGTCATATTATCCACTTGCAGTAACAATGGAATAATATAATGATTGTTAAATGTTGTAACCTAGAATTGAAGATGTAATTTGTTACTTATAAAAGTACGACCTGAGGGTCCAGTGTTATCTGACCGTATGTAGTAACCCCTGAATCTTACTTGTCAGAGAAATAATACAACAGTTGTCTCATGAAGTAGTGAGTAATTGAAGTAGTTAAATGGTGTAATAAGTACTTGAAGTGTTTAATGAATTAATAAGTAATTGTGGTGCTGTTTTGTAAATGGTACAGTAAGACCTGAGGGTCCAGTCTTATCTGAGTGAAGTTAAGTAACATCTTATTCACTCACTGTGGTAATAAATATTGAATTAGTAATCTACGAGTATCACCTCTCTACTCCTTCTAAACATTGGTTCCCAGAAAA